GGTAGCTAACCTAGCGGGATTTTATAATGCTCCTCACACAAAAGATTGTGGAATCATTTTTCTGAGCTGGGATAACCTTAAATGTATGGAGGACAGTGATTCAAGCCTACATCATCCTCCTGCTTTCAGAGAGGAGTCTGTGGAAGGAGACCCCAGCAGAATGGGGCACGTGTTACTGAGGGGAAAAGGGACAGCTCTCTGTCCTTGGGTTTTGCTGCTAAACCATTTATTTTATTGAGCTTTGCTGTGCATCTTGGAGAGTTGCCCTCATCTGCTGGGGTCCAGGACAAGGTAACAAACACACATCCCTTGTGCTTCCTCACTGTGTCAGGGAAGGTTTAGGTGAAGCTTTAAATAAGTGAGGAGTTCATATAGATAGGAATGATGCTAACTGTTCCTTAGGAGGAAGAATATTACCAGGAAAAATCTTCCCCAGAAGGCCCCTGGGACAGAGGCCAACAGTGTCTAATGAGGCAAACTTTCCTTATGAGCTGCAGTTCTTAATGTTGGAGGGTGAGGGCTTGAGGGGCTGAAGTCAGCAGACCTGGGGACCTCTGAGAACAGACAGCCTGTCTCCTGGGCTCCTTTGCTCTGGACAACTGCTCTCCTTGCTGTGGCACAAGCTGCTGCTCTGGAGGTGATGGAGGTGCTGAGTCCAGGTAAATCATCTATTTCCTTCTGGTTTAGCAAATGAGTTGGTTTGGTGATGGTGCTGCAGAGACAAGCAGCTCCGCAGTGCTGAGGTGTGTGCTGGGGGACCTCTGGCGCAGCTGCTGTCAGTGTTGGGGACAGGACAGCTATGCAGGAGTGCAGCTTGGTTCCACACAAATCTATCTGCTGGCTTTCTTTCCTTCATTTAGTGCCAAAATGTGTGCCTCTGACAAAAGAGGTGACTTGCCTGAAAATGGAGATGGACCCCCAGTGCAGTGAGCTGCCGCATAACCACTGGAGCTGCAGTGCTCAGCTGGGCGTGTACGTGTCTTCTGCTGGCAGCAAATGTGAGGTTTCAGAAAACAGGAGAAATATGTGATCATCTCTACCTAATTCCTTGACATAAAGGTGTTGATGAATCTCTGATGAGCAAGTTGCTTGCTCTGGTGGCTACTGTTTGTTTGCAAATACTCTAATTTTGTTAAAACCAAACAGTGGAAATGAAGGTGTATCATTGTTCTCAGAGACCTAGTTTTCTAGGGACAAAATAGGCAAGTACTTAAACCTTGGTTTGCAGTGACTGCTGGCAGAGTTATCTCCTGCAGAAGTGGAAAATGCATGGGAGGAATTAGAGGTGCCAGTATGAGGTGGACAGGGGTGGTCTAATGAAGGGCAAAGCAAATGCACCTTGTAATGTTTCGTATCTTAACTCTGTCCTTGAGACAGTGGTGCAAGAGAAACTGCTGCAGAAGCAGATTACTGTATATTCAGAGGCTTATGTCCCTGCTGGCCTCTGTTGGAGGACGGAGGGACACTGAAGGGCAGCCCTGTGCTGGAGGGAGTGTGTCCATGGCACTGCCCGTACTGGCGCCTTTAACCACAGGCACTTGGCAGCACATATCTCACCTAGCTCCTGTCTTGCTCCAGGCTGTAAGAACTGGAGGATGGTAATGGGTGCTGGCCCAAATCCATGTCAGGTTGTCCTGCCCTTTGCTTGCAGGCTGACTGAGGTGGAGGAGGTATTCGAACTCAAGTTCTTTGATGTCCAGTGCTTCTCCTGACACCCTTGATCTGTTGCATTGGCAGCTTTGGGAAGGGCAGGAATGATGCCACTGAGTAATGGTCCTCCTCCCTTTGTGCTCAGTGGTGCACACAGCTCTTGGTGAAAATGTCGTTTTCCTGTTCTCTACTCAACACTCATAAATTTCACAGTGAAAGATCAGACAGAATTGTCTTGATGATCTTCTAAAAAGTGCACGAGTCTTTTCCATAGCCCTCAGATTTTGGTAGAGTGATGTAAATCACAATTATGCACAGGATTAGCAATCAAAGAGCATTATGAATCAATCTGATACTTTGTCTTAACCATAGCCCTTCTTAGATTGCTGACCTACATATTCCAGCTTTCACTATAACTGCTTCAGCAAGAATGGGCTTTGTTTCTGAGTGTAAGGTGGCCCAGCTTCTGGCGATCTTTGTGTTTGAAGAACACTTTCATTGAGATTATGTAGAGATTTACTAAAATTCCTGGTGACTTCAGATGTGCTTGAAGTCTGCGCTGCTTGACTGGTAACTTGTCAATGAAGTGTGAAATATAAGTGGTTCCTTTGAATGTTCTTTTTATTATAATTGTGCTGATGAAAAAGCTAGAAGATGAAATAAGATGCTTTCAGTATAAAGTGCTCTTAGATGTCTAGCCAACAGAGATCATTGTTATCACTTGTGTGATTAAAAACCTTGGAAAAACGTACATATTTGAGCCACTTGCTTATAGGTAAAAAAGAAGTTTTATTGCCTTTCTGAAGTATGTGCTGCAAGCTCAGCCTTAAGTGAGATGTAAACCCAAAGCTTCTTCCGTAAAACCGCTCCCTGCGAGTCACTGATGATATTGATGTTAATGCATATCTGCTTGTTACAGATGAGTTTTCCTACTGATTCCAGAGTGAGGGGCTGAACGATGATAAAAAGGAGAATCCAGAACTAGGTCTGCAAAAGAGTGACTCGGTTGTTTTAAGGCAGCACTTAAACCCATTCCTACCTGTCATGATTTCAGCTCTGCAGGATAGATCCCTTGGTTTGAAGAATGATGGGAAGCAACAAGAAGTGCCTGTTCTGGTGTGCTTGTGCTTCCCAGCACGTACCAGTAGACTGCACATGGTCCAGGAGCTTGTCTGTGAAACCAGAATGGGGATTCGTGAAACCAGAGCAGAGGAAGTCTGTCCTCTGGTTTTGTCTCAGCAGGTTCCAAGTGGTGCCTCTGCCTAGCTTGGGTTTGCTGGTCCCTCTGCAGCATTTGGAAGCTGCCTGAGATGCTTGGCTTGGGGTGTCTCTGAACTTTCAGCTCTCCCAGCAAGTCATCAGATGTTCTTAAATATTTCCTTGTGGTCTGTTGCTCACAAGTTACCACAATGTCCGTTCTCAGGCAGAGGTTGTGCAGAAAGCTGCAACACAGCATCTGGCTGTTTCTTTTTCTGTAATAGCTAAAAAAAGGTCTGTTTGCGAGACCTTTATTTAAAATGGAAACACTGCACAGAATATCCCCCCTTTTACCAGCAGGATGCTGAAGTGCAGGGAGGCCTTTGCTTTTGTATATTGTCTCCTGTGCCCCAGACTCCTTTACCTGGGAATGGTGCATTAGTACACGCAGAAGAGAACTCTGTACCAGACTGTGCTGACATTCTTCTGTGCTCCCGATCTGTGTTCCCTCTGGGAACTGGCAGCTACTGCAAATGAACTGAGGGAGGCTGGTGCTGGTGCATACCTCGGTGCTGCCGGAGGAAGTGTAGAACCCGAAGCATTCGGCACAGGATGCCAATCTGGCTGGCTGTGTTGTGCATACTGAGCTGTTCAGCGGGTCCCTTGGCACTGGCAGAAGTGTTTGTCACGAAGCCCTGGCTTGTGCCTGGGATTTCTGGGGGTGAGGGAAACAAGCTAATGCTCCCCTCATCAGTGTTGCATCCATCCTCTTAGGATGGCTGCAGCAGTTTGGATTTTCAACTGTAAAATTTTGCAGAAAAATAGCAGTTGCTGACAGCAGGGATTAATTTATTAATATGCATTATGGCTTGCCTTTGTCTTTGTGGTACAGCACTTGCTGATTAGGAAACCAAAGGTGTTCCAATCAGCCTGACTTCGTTCACTGGATTTTCTGCAGATAACCTGTGTGTGCCAACGGAGTCCCGAGTCTGTGGGGAGAGTGTGGTGATACTCACTGGGATGGGATGACAATAAAAATTTCCATGGCAGTCATGCAGCAATGATAGCTGCTTTCTAAAATGGATCTCCTGGGAACTAAAAGAAATCTGTAGTCCTGGTTTCCTCATGCTCGTCTCAAGGACCTGCTTTTTACCTTGGAAAAACATTTAATGGGCAGTACCAGAGTAATGACTTTTTTTTTCCTACCCCTACGTTTGTTTGTAATGCAGAATCCTCAGGAAAGTGTGCAAGCTCTGTGCCTTCTGAACACAGCAGCTGAGGCACAGAGCACCTCGAAAGCAATTAGTTTGCATTTAAAATAAATAAATAAAAAAAAATCTCTTGACTGCTCAGAGAAGATGCCTTCATGCTGAGTTGCATTGCCTAGCAAGACTGAAAATTTGAGCATGATCCTTTGTTATATAAGTTGGGTTGTTTAATGTTTATTTATTTGTTTGGGTTTAGGGTTTTCTTCTCTTTCCCCAAAGGTTTAGTTCTGCATAACTTAACTACATCCATACATACATAACATAACTTTGGTACAGAGGTGGAGAATAACTGTGTAAATTCTTGATTATCCTGATGACCTGACTGTAATCCTGCCATCCTTTGTGCTTGCAAGGGGTCTTAAAGAAATTAGAAATTAGACATACAAGATTGTAATAGCTGGGATAAAGGTAATCTCACTGTTGCTTGTGTGAGACCCCACATGCAGTGCTGCTTCCAGCTCTGGGGTCCCTAGCACAGGAAGGACATGGACCTGTTGGAGCACGTCCAGAGGAGGCCACCAAAATGATTAGAGGGATGGAGCAGCTCTGCTATGAGGAAAGACTGAGAGAATTGGGATTGTTCACTTGGAGAAGACAAGGATTTGGGGTGACCTAATTGCAGCCTTCCAGTACCTGAAGGGAGCCTGCAAGAAAGGTGGAGAGGGCCTTTTTTTTTTCTTTAACAAGGGCCTGAAGTGACAGGACAAGGGGGAATGGCTTCAAACTGAGAGTAGATTTAGATGGGATATTAGGGAAACATTCTTTCCTATGAGGATGGTGAGGCCCTGCCACAGGTTGCCCAGAGAAACTGTTGCTGCCCCATCCCTGGAAGTGTTTAAGGCCAGGTTGGATGGGACTTCGAGCAACCTGGTCTAGTGGAAGGTGTCCCTGCCTATGGCAGGGGGTTGGAAGAAGATGATCTTTGAGATCCCTTTCAACCTAAACCATTCTAGAATGATTCTCTGGAGCTATATATCTTTTTATGTTGTATATATTTTTTATGTTGTTTATATTTTTATATAAATTGATATTAGTTCTTCACCCAGCTCTTATTTGTCCAGCAGAGATTCTGTGTAAATAATTATCAGGGAGTTAGGCACTTTGTGAGGTGCATTAGCAGAAATGTTGCAGAAATGGAAATGTTATGTTCTGGTTTCTCTGGGCTGGTGTTGCACAGGTGAGCCTGACATGAAATATGTATGTTTTATGAGAGTCGAGAAGGTGCTGGATGGATTTTGCTCTCATCCAGATAACGATGTCTGTGAATATGAAGCCTGTTTCCTATTAACAGCTGTTCCTGCAGTCTTGAAATTCACTTTTCACAAATGGGTCTGTTCATGAAAGAGTAGTGCTTTCCTGGGAAGATCATAAAAGAGCGACGGGTTGTATCTTAACAAAGTCCTTCCAGAGCTTGGTATTTTGTGGAGTTTGTAACTGCCTAAGGAGCTGCCTTTCACCTTTCTGAACAAAAGGCATCATGGAAGGGATCTCCAACAAATGCTGCAGGGGCAGATTTTAGTGGAACAGAGATGGGATTCAGGTTGAAGGAGTCGGGAGCAGAGATGAAATAGTCCCCTGGATGTGTTTTAGTATTGGAGGCAGGGGGATTCCCAAAGGCAAAAACGGGATTGATAGAAATAGGTGTTGCTTGTGCCTGTGACATGAAAGGGTATTTTGAGAGACGTGGGAGTGCCCAGCTGGAGAGGAAAGAAGAGCAGCGCTGGAAGGCCACTTTAATTCAGGAATGCCTTGTGTGATGGGTTAGTCAGGCTTTCTGCTCATCCTACAAAGTGAGGGATCATTGGCATTTTCAGGCTCTTCGAATTTAATTTAACCTGTGCTTAAAGGACAGCCGTCTTGAATCTTGCAGACTGAGCAGCTCACCTGTAGATGGAGGAGTCTGAAAAAGTGCTGTATATTTGGCACTGAGCAGTGGCTCCATGTGATGTGTGCATGAACCATGGCCTGCTTTAACAGAGGGGTCTGAAAAGTGCAGAAAGGAGGGAAAGCTGCATGGAAAGAATCTAATTTTCTTTGGCTCTATCTGCTGGCTTTCAGAGCAGTCACTAATTCTGTCTTCTATTTTATTCTTTTATATATAATAGCGTGGGTGTGGACTGGGAATTATTTTAAGCCCTGTGGATGTGGCTCAGCAATTTCAAATGTGGTTAGAAGTGTGATTTTAAAAACAAAGGGAAACTCCTTCAAATCTGCACCTGGAAAATTTAATTTTCCAGTGTGGTGTAGCTCACCTCTGCTTTCCCACTCTCAGTTTTGGAAACTTCTTATCACTTTGTAAATCACTTTGCAAAACACCCATATCTTTCAGTTGAACTATGTGCTCTAAGGTTGAGAAGTGTTCCTAGTTATTAAGGGAGTGCAATTGGGTAACTATTTTATTAGATATTCATGGATGGATTGTTTAATTAGGTAGATAGAGGATCGGATCATATGTTTGCAATCTAAGGAGAAAAATTCAGAAAGTTTAATTAAAGATTAGTTTTAAAATTTGATGTCAGAAGTGATGTGAAGTTTCAGTGTGGACACTTAATTAAAATCAGTTTAGTTCATGCTGGAAGTGAATAGGAATGAAGGAAATTTAAGCTTACCATGGCTACAGATGTGGGGGTGTACCAAGGTCATTAATGCATGTTAACTCATACTTTTAAAATTAATTCCTGACGTTAATTTGGCTTGATTCTTTCCATCTGTCCATGCAGACAACACTCTGGAAGTTTCACATTTTTTGAGATATTGCAGAAATTACTTCTTCTCCCCACTATTCCTTCGCAGCATCTGAGCTGAGATTTTACACTGGATGAGGACTGCACGTCAAGCCCTGCAGGTGATGTTTGAAATGCTTAATTTTTCACCTAATTGTTGCCTGCATTTCACATCTGTGAAGTGCCCTCAGGCATGACCGTCATGGCCTGCCATGGGTGCACCACGGCTGAGCAGTGGGGTGGCTGCCTTGGAGCCTGCGGGGCAGGAAAGGGCTCTGTCCCAACCCCTTCTGCTCACGGCTTAGCTCTGCTTCAGCAGGGTCTAGGCTGAGCCTCAGCCCTCCCCATCTGTCAGGACCCTCATCGGGCAGCGCGTGACCTGCTCAGCGCCTCGTCTATGTCTGATCGGCGGCGGAGCTGATGAAACTGGTCACTGCTGCCAGGAGATCTCAGGTCTTTCTTCCCAGCTCCTACCCATGTGGATCTCCCCTGGTTGCCACAACTCCCTGATCTGAAAGAAAACAAACCTGAGGTGCGATTGAACACTGCACAGGGTTTCCAGTAAGTGGAGGGAGCAGCTGTGAGCATGTTGCCAGCCCCTGTGTCCCCTAGTCATGCAGCCCTAGCATGTGCTGTTCTGGACCAGCTGGTGCTGGGGACTTTGGGATGGTGGTGGTAATGACTTTTGGAGAGCATGAGCCACCATGGTTGCCCTAAGGAGGCCACCTGCCAGGGTTTTGGTAAGCACAGGCTGTGCTGGTGGGCAGGGTTCTATGGCTGGATTTGTCCATCACTGCCTGTTTTTCTGAAGTGAAAACACTCAGGCTGGGAGTGAAGGTTATCATGTCCTGCTTTTCCCCACCTGAGATTGCCCCACAGGCTGTTGCATGTTTTAATGGTGTCACAGTCTTGAAGTTGTTTTAAAACATTTTCTTCAGTTAAATTCCTGTCTAACCATAAGCTCCAAGAAACCTGCTTTTTCTTCCAGTATTGCTCCTTCTAGCCCATTTCAGTTCTTGCCAGATTCCTAAGCTGCCGTCTCCTAGAGAGCTTTCAGTCTTTCTGGTCCTTGAACATCTCTTAGCCCTCCCACAACCTTGGCTTGCTTTCTTTTATGTTTCATGAAGACAAACTGCAGGAGAAAAAACAGCCACAAAACAACCAAAAAACCCCATCCCCTCTCCAAATGTCCAGATACATTCTACCTCTTCTCTGTAGTTGCGCTTGTTATCTTTCTGAAAACTGAATTTAGCTGTTGGTGTTATTAGTAGTTCTAATAAAATTTGTTTTATAGCTGGTTACCAGGAGATTATTAGCTGCGTGTGTCAAAAAGTAGGTGTAATGGTTCAGAGCAGATAAGCTGCAAAAACTACCCCCTTAAAAAAAGCCTATGTAGAAGCTACTTTGGTGTTACTCACTGGAAAAATGAGCAATTCTTCAGCTCTGGTTTGGGGAGGAGGATCAAGGAAGTTGAATTTGTCTCGAGCAAGATGTATTTGAAGTGAAAATACTGGTCTTTGTAATATCTTTTCCAAGGAAAGCAGTGAGAAACTTCTGCTAATTTGGTAGTTGTGGAAAAAGATCCTACTGGGATGATGCCTGGGTGAGACTGCTGCTGAGTGAGAGATTGGATTAGCCATAATTTGCACAGCTCGTCTTCCTTCATGCTACTGCTTTCCCTCCCCTGCCATGGTGTACTGCAATGCATTAGGGTCCTTGGATGGTTCATGCTGGCATTAATTTGAGTTAAGGACATACTGGGACCTCTTCCTAAGCTGTGTGTGTTTGGGTTCCCTGCTGAGAGCAGAAACCTGAGCTGCTGGACTCAGGTGAAACATATGCCGGGCCAGGCGCATACACTGGAAACTTGCCCAAGGCAGGATAATTATGGGAGGCAGCTTTTTCTGAGCAGACTGTGTGCTCTCACTTGCTGAACAGTCTTGTGATTAATGTCTTACTTAAGAGGATTTTAGGACACATGCTGCAGTTACACTGCATTACTTTTAGAAGTAGGGGAGAGGTTAGAAATATAAACTCTGTAAAGGCTCTTTTGTGTTTCCAGCAAGAGTCATCAGTTAAATGCAGTGCATCACTGCTCTGTTGTGTCAGGGTAGGCAGTGGTTTTTGCTATGGATGGTTCAGTGGGAGAGGGATCCTCAAGAGGGTCTTTGCACATGTGTTTGTACAGGTTGTATTGCTCAGAACTCCTTAGGGACTCATAGCCCCAGTACTAAGGGTGAGTTGTTCTGCCCTGATCTCAATATTACCAGCTCTCCCTGCCCCTGGCTCCTGGCTTTGGACTCTGGGAAGTTCTGCAGACAGCAGGTGTTCACCAGCAGATTTCGCCTTCAAAACAAGGCTCTGTGTGCTGTTTTACTCAAGCCCAGGTTATGTTTAGAGGCGTTGGCAGCTCTAAAGAGATTGTTGATCTTACCCAGGATACCGTTGCCTGTGGTGTGGGCACAGCAGTATTTGCTCTAGTGTTTCTGTGTTGCTGCCTATTTGCTGTGTGGTCCTGGCTGGTGGTTGTAGTCCCCTGTCCGGTGATTTCTGATCAGTCTGATGTAGCTGTCTAACATCTTGATTTCTTTCCTAGGCTAGAGAATTCGATTAAGAGGGACATGAGAGCATGAAGAATTGCATGGATGTGCTTCCTGTGGTGGCACCTCCTACAGATCTTACCTGGCAACCTACTGCTGCCTGGAAGGGAATGACAAGGAACTGCTGTGGGCAGCAAGGGAACCTGGAGATGAAGGTGATGACCATGGCTCTTCTTTTTCTTTTCAGTGTCCCTTTTTTCACTTCCACATGCGTGCAGCAGGAGCAGGACTGCTGTTGGCGTGACAAGGCCATGTACGTTCAGAGGCACTGCTGTTTGCGCTAGGGCTGTCTCGTGTTGCTTGCAGAGTTGGGAGGGTGGTAAAGAAAATGAGAAGGGTTCTCTGCTATTCCCTTTGCAACTATCCTATATTTCTCTTTTAAAGCAAAATAAAAGATTTGTTCTGCTACTTGTGGGAGCCCTTGTAGAAGCTGAGACATATTGGTAGTGTGCCAGAGATAAGTGTCTGAGATCCAGTATTTATTCTGCCTTGCGTAAAATGAATATAAGATGTGTATTGGGGCTCCTTTTGGTAAGGGCTTTCCATAGAAACCCTCTGGGGATATTGCCTGTGGTTCTCGGTTACAGTAATTAGCTGCCTGCTTTCAGGGCTGTCATGTCTGAAGTGCTTTTGGTGGTGATGCCTCTATCCCTGTCTATCACCCTTCCCCGCTGGCATCCTGCCCCTTATCCCAGCACTGCAAGGCTTCGGAGCTGCCCTCAGAAATGATGAGCTAGTTCAAAAGGTTGGGTCATGTGAGCCATTGCAGTGACTGAGGAAGGTGCTGATGCTGGGACCCCACTTTTCTCTCGTGCACGGGAAAGCTCACTTGGTAGGGAGCATTTTTAGAGGCAACTGCAAATGTAAGTGTTGGGTTTATACCTGTTTTCATGTGTGAAGAAGGCTTGGGAAGACCTTGTTGTATAGCTGCTTCTCTAGATCCTTAAATTGCTGGCATGAGGAGTGCCAGCTGTTGCTCCCCACTTCCTCTTCTGCTGGAAACATGCTAATCTCCTCTCCTCTGCTTAAAACCTAAATCTTTAATATGGAACATGCACCACCCTTTCTTCCTTTCTGGCTGAGGAACACTTGTCCCTCCCAGTGTTGTGTTACCTTTAGCATTGCAAACTGAAACGCTTGGGCAGGGGTGGTGGAGCTCCAGCAGCCTGCTTGCTTGGAGGCTGCTGGATTTCCATCCCCAAAGAGGGCAGAGAGCAGCCAAAATTTGCACAGAGATCAAGAAAGAGCTGTATGGAGCCTGGGGAGCACTGGCAGGAGTGGGAACACACTGCGGGAGGTGGGTGAGTGGAAAAGAAAAAATGTGGCACGTTGCCTTGGGCATCTCTGGCAGTTGTTCTTTTCATGGGGAAAAGAAAACAAAGCTGGAGACAACTTGACTTCTAGTTAGGTAGGATTTGGGTGTAGAATAGAGGTTAAAGAAGCAGGTCAGCCATGGAGCTCAGCCCCTGCAAAACTTCTCGTTTGTTGTTGTTCTTGGGAAACAAGGGGGGGGGGGGGTAGTTCTGTTTTTCTTCCTTGTTCCTCTGAAATCCAAGACCAAACCTTTCAAACTCAGATTCACTTTTAGTGCAGATATCCTTCTCTTAATGTGCATTGGTAACACTGAAGAGTCACCTTCTATTTGTGCCAGAATGAAATCTCTAGCCCCTTTCAAAACACTCGGAAGTCTTCCTCCTGAACAGCAAACCCAGCTCCCTGTTACTAAGTACAGTTTCAGACTAGGCAGCCTGGTTAGGTGTGGCTTGCAATATGCCAAGGCTGCTGTGGGAGTTGGATATTTGAAAACCAGCAAAGTGATACATTTGGTCTGTAATATCTGTACCTCTCTGTCTGCCTAACCCTCTTGTCAGCAGTTATGCTGTCATATGTTAATAATTTAAACGGAAGAGGGACTTTTCTCTTTCCTCCTTTGGGTACATCTGAAATAGAGAAGTAAAACCAAAAATTGGTACACACCCCCTTCATGTCCCAGTGCTCCCTGTGGCTGTGTGGGAGCCTCTGACCCTCTCCCCCTTTAGAAGGGGGCAGAGCCTACCTGTTGGAAAAGAGGATGTTATGTGTTGGGTCTGGGTGGCTGAAGGTGGAGGAGATGAGCTTCGGTGCGTCGAGTCCAGGTTTAGCAGTGGCTTCCCAAGGTGGGTGTCCAGACCAGTGGAGTGTGATCAGCAAAACCTTCGACCACGTACTAAAATACAGTTTTCTTTCACAATAACGGGATGACGCAGATGTAATCGTATTGTGTAAGAGCAGTTAATTCTGTGTGCTTGTGCTGAAGTGCAGTGCTAACCCATCTGCTTGTTTTTGCTGCAGTTTTGTGTGTGCTTTAGAGATGGCCCCACTACTGCCAGCACTTTGGGGCAGCTTCTCTATCAGGAGCTGGCTGTTGGTGCGTATGGCTCTGTGGTCACTCTGGCAGCCTGTTTCTATATACTCATGGCTTCTACTCTTTTACATACATGAAGTCCTTGCTGTGGCAGAAGACGCTGTTCTCAGACATTGCTTTGCACTTGAAGCATTTTGTGGGACTCCTGCATTAGCTCTGAAACACCATGGTGAGTAGAGGACGTGAGCTCAGGACAGGCACTGCATACAGTGGTCAGCTTTTCCCCCCAACTCGGATCCAAAAATGCTCATAAGGAAAGGACTTCCAAGAAGAAAGGCTTGTGGAGCATGGGAGGAGGGCTGGAGGTGGAATCTCACTATGGCAGGAAAGCAGCTTCCTGCACACTTTCCTGGTGGGGAAAGGCCACAGAAACTAGGGTACCCGCCTTGTGCAATGCAGATGCTGGAAAGGATGTGAAGGGCCTTAGGGGGGATTTCCTAGGAGGAAGAGAAGAGTCCTGGAGATGCAGACACACCAGGAATGCACCTGGTTCCTAACAGGTAGCGTGTATATCCACCTCCAGCCCTCCTCCCTTGCTCCACATGGCGCTGTGCATCCTTGGTCTCCTAAAATAGCTCTTTGAGTACCACTGCTGGTAGTGGCAAGCGCTGAACCCGCTGTTGCTGCCGCAGCGCGTGTGATCGGGCCGTGCTGGGCGTGTGAGCAGCAGTGCAGAGCACAGGCCTCCCTCTGCCCCGGCAGCAGCACCTGCCCAAGTCAGAGGGTTCGGGGGAGCTGGCGCCCCGAAACAAGTGTGTGGGAAACTTCTGCTCTGCTTCCCTGCTCTCATGCAAATGGTTTTTTACCTCTTTGGGCCCTAATCTGCTGAGATCTCTGAAAGAGCTCTGTTTACTCAGCTTTTAAAGAGCTCCCAAAAGGGGCATGGGAGGTTTGCTGCAAGTTTCTGAAGCACTAATGCTTTCCCTCATTGAGGTGGCTGCAGATAATGCCATACAGAGATCCAGCCAAAATAAGACTTTATGCACAACCCAAAGTGGAGGAACCTGTAAACTGGGTCAGGCTTGTAATTTTCTTTAGCCTTGTACTTTGGGGGGAAAAAAAATTAAAAATTGCTGTTCTAGCAGACTTCAGAAAATATTCATCAGGCTGATGCATTTTAACTAGATTTCTATACTTGTTTAGAATAAAGAAGGAAAGTTCAGAGATAACACTTTGTAAAAGTGGTTTCCCTTGACAACATACAACTCTGGCCTATATGCATGTTGGACAACCTGTGAAAAGGCTTTTATTTCAGCAATATCTCTGTATTATGAATGCATTATTTCCTAACTTAAAAATAGCTGAGGATATGTGTGTAAGTATGTAAGTATGTGTATTTGTTATAAATCCAAGAGAGAGAGCAATACAAGTCTCAGTGGAAGCAGAACCACCTTAGCTGAATTGACCTGATTTTTGAAAATAAAAATAAAAAATAAAATAATAATAAAAAAAAACCCAACCAAAAAACCCCACAAAAAACAAACAAACACAAAAACCCCAAACAAAATCCAAACAAACAAAACACACGTGCACCCCCTCCCCCAAAACAAAAAAAAAACCACAAACAAAATAGTTTCAGACAACTCTGCTAGGCTTCCCTGCTGTTTTTCTTTGCTTTCATACTAGAATGTTGTGGTTCCTCCTATGTGAGAGGAGATATTCTAACTGCCACACCCTGGGCTTGGGGGTTCTCTGCTAGTTTAGCCTCAGGGGATACTGGTATGATGGCATGAGGAAGGAAAAAAAATTGTGTTCCTCCTGTCAAGAGATATCCAGGACTTTGTACCTTCAGATGCCTGTGCGAGGTTAAAACATGGTGTAGTAGCAGCCAAGCTCCCATCCTGAGAACCTGGAGGGGAGCTTGTGGAGAGGAGAGTGAGCTACATTGCTGTACCAAAGGATCCAAAGGGATCCTTTTGGCAGGAAGAGGAAGGAAAAAGGAGATGAAGGATCATCAGCTCCCATGAGACTGTGATGGCATTGCCAAATGAACTACTTAAAAACTTGTCCCTTTGAAGTGTGCTGGAGTAAAGGTAGGCAGATTTGTTTAAATAAAATGAATGAATAACTTTTCATCTAAAGCTTGTCTGAGCCAGATCAAAAGTCAGCCTTGTTTAAAGTTCAGTGAATTTCAAGCCCAGTGCTTTTCCACTTTGAGCTTGAATGGGATGTTGAGCAGCAAGAAGAGGTGTCATGAGATCACCCTCGCAGCCTTGAGCACTGTGTGAGATTTGTGGCATGTGAGACCACTGCTGTAGGGAGTCTCTTGCTCTTGCTTTCGAGCAGTAGGGCATGGTGTCCTCCCAAGGTGTTCTGTGAGTCACCCCCAGCAGCTGGCAGCCACCACTGTGCGTGTGGAACACCTCAGCTGGATTTCTACAGGTTCCTTGTCTGCACAGGATGCTGCTGCTGGGATGTGGATGGTTTTGGCACTTGTACTTACTTGTGTGGTACATTGAGGTGTGTTGTTGTAAGAGATGACTGTAGGTAGTGTTTGCTGCACGGCCTCAGCTTACAGACAAGTTTTACAGTATTCTGTAACTTCTTCCTGGTAAATATTTGTTTCAACTTAATGTCAAGTGTTTGATGCTGTGGTGCAGTTTCCTTCTTTGGGGGTGGGAGAAGCCCCACTGGAACTCTTTGACCTGTGTCTGGGTTGTTGAGATGTTAGATAAAAGAATTGGCTGGACTTCAGAATGATCCCGAGGAAGAGCAGTGCAGCATAAATCTGATTAAGTGATGTACTTTAGG